TGGAGAGTGTGATGCTAAGTGAAATAAGTCATACAGAGAAAGACAGATACCATATGTTTTCACTCTTATGTATGTGGATCCTGGGAAACTTAACAGAAACCCATGGGGGAGGGGGAGGGAAAAAAAAGAGAGGGAGAGCCAAAGCTATAAGAAGAGAGTTAAAAGCTGAGAACAAACTGAGGGGGTTGATGGGGTGGGAGGAGGGAGGGGGGGTGAGGGGCATTGAGGAGGGCACCTTTTGGGATGAGCACTGTTAAATGAAACCACTTTTTGACAATGGGATTAGTAAAAAAAAAAAAAAAAAGGTGCACTTTTAAATAAATTACAAGGAACCACAACATCTTAGTTACCTCTAACTAAATAAACGTAAGATTAAAAATAAAATGAAATCTGTTGTTAGGTCTGTGGGCGGGCTCAGCGGTAGGAAAAGGAACAGAGATCTCGGATACAGATCCCTTCACTTAGGCGACCCTGAGTTAAAAAAAAAAAAATTGTAACCTGTTCTAGGGCCCCTGGCGGCATCCCACACCCAGTGACGGAGCTGGTTCTTTGTCCCGAACCCAGGGAACAGCACTCCCAGCCCGTGCATTCAGAAGCCCGCCAAACGCCTCCGAGCCTCATTCTTCACCAGGAGAATGGGCACAAGGTCCGCACCCCAGGTGTCTGCGATTTCTGTGAGCCGGCACATACGTCACGTAATGCCAGCGATTCTGGTCCCTTCCGACTTTACGGCAGGAGACACAAAGGGTAGGGATGCTCACCACGCTAGGCTCAGCTCGGGCAGCTAACAAAGGCCCCGAGGGCAACACCGGAGCCCAGCAGGAGGCTGGCTCAACAGCACGGGACGTCATCATATGGCGGTCTACACGAGCGTTTACAAGGACGCCAGGGCTTTGCACACTGAGGGTATTGGTTTCTCCCGACTGATCAGGGGAACCTTATTAACACAGAAACATTCTTTTTTTTTTTACAAAATCCTAAAATATAAAATAGGTAAAACATGAGTCCCTCAGGTTGAGCCAGAGGGGAGAACCTTGAGCAGCCCCCAGCAGGGCCTCCAGGAGACCCTGGGCTTCCAAGACCAGGACCTGGAAAACTCTGGGGTTGACTGAGCTGTCCAGACACGGGAAAATGTCAATAGGTCAGTGAGTGGGGGGGGGAGAAGCCCTCCATTAAGGCTCCAAATCAGCAAGAAGAATGTGAGTTACTATCGTTTCTGAAAAAGAACACATACACGTGGAGTCATGTGTGCAAAAACAAGTTCGGGAAGGGGGCTCTCCGACACATTCACGCACACACGGACGTGGTGACGTGAGGCACTTTTAGTCTCCGTCGTAGCTTTCCACCCGGTCTCCCGCTGTCAACACATCAGTGTCCCGTTTTCCTCATCAGCCCCTACACCAGCCACGCCGAAGAATGTGTCATCACAAAGCGGCTTGGCCACCTCCCCTGGTGGAGGGCAGCTGGCCCGCGCCCGCACACTCGGGGGTGGCCAGAGGCCCTACCTGCGCCCGCAGCGTTGACCCTCTGCACGGCCACCTGGCTCCAGGCCCCGGGAGCCGCCCCACAGTCTAAGACCCGGAGGCCGGGCCGCAGGATCTGGTGCCTCTGGTTCACCTCCAAGAGCTTGAAGGCACTTCGGCACCGGTAACTCTCCACCCTCGCTGCCTTCACAAACGGGTCCCTCAAATGACGTGTCAGCCACAGGTGCTCAGCAGCGGTCCGACCCTTGTAGTGGCTCCCGGCGGTGTGAAACCTTTGCCGCTGAAGGGACGCAAGTACCAGCTTCAAGGACCTGAGAAAGAAGAAGGGAGCGAACAGGTGGACGTCACACAGATAAGCGGGGTCCCTGGTTCAACCCACGTGTTTTTAGAGAAGGGCCCGGAGGCCCAAACGGGGAGGAAACTTGACAAGGCGACGCGGCCAGAAAACGGGTGTAATGGCCTGCACTGAGTCCCTCCCCAAAGGGGTGTGTTGAAGTGCTAACCCCAGAAACCTCAAAACAGAAGTGGTCTTTAAAGAGGTAACTACGAATGAGGCTATACAGGCGGGCCCCAACCCGACCCGACTGGCGTCTCCATCAGAGACAGCTGGGACACAGGTGCGCGGGGAAAGGCCACGTGAGGCCACGGGCAGAAGGCAGCCGTGAGCAGGTCGAGGAGAGAGGCCCCACGAGAAAAGGGCCCTGCAGCACCGTGATCCGGGTCTGCGGCCTCAGCCTGCGTTTGTGTGGTCTACGCCTGGCCTGCGGCGGCCCAAGTGCACGAACACGGCAGGCGAACTCCTTCTGGCGAAGAAGCGTGGGGCCCTCGGGAAAATTTTCTTCAGAAGGAAAACTCAAAGCTTTTCCGGTTCCGCTTAACAGGCCTGATGATGTTGACAAAGCAATCTTCTTTCTTACCCGGGACAACTTGTCCCCGGGCTGTGCGGGACTGGGAGAAGCCCCCCGGGGACAGACCACCCCGCCTTCCTCGGCGCCTCGGCACAGCCGCCAACACGGGGCCGCCAGGCCCGTCTCCTAACAACTGCACTCGGCCTGAAGAACGAGTTCCAAGTCTCTTTGGCAAAGTCAGGGTCTGAACGGTTTGCCGCGGGCCGGGAGCTCTCCGCACCCCCCTCACTCAACTCTCAGAACAACCCTACAAAGTAAGTTCTGCATCCGTGTTCCTCAAGGGAAGACCCGGACATCTTCACCAGGGCGCACGGCCAGAGGCCCTTCAACAACCCAAGCGTGCAGTCAAGATCCGGACACAGTAACTCGGTGATGGCTGCCTTCGCAAAGCCCCCCGGGGTCTCTCGGAAGGAGCACAGAGCCATCCTGGGCACCAGAACCAACGGGGCCGGTTGGGGGAAGGCCGGAAACGGGGTCACACAGGCCCTGTCCTCCAGCGCCGGCCCACACCTAGAGTTCGGCCACACGGGCCATTGGTGCCTCTCCAGTGCCGAGCCACAACCGTCAGGCCTGCCCCCGCAGCGCCCCTCCCCTGCGCCCTCCAGCTGCAGCACCCCTTCACCTGCGCCCTACGCTCTCCGTAGGCCTCCACGCTCCCCGCCCGCCCGCCGCTCCTCGGAACCCGTCCGGACTACTGACTTCGGGCCGGAAGTCCTCCCATAGGCGCTTCGCCGGGAATGACCGCGTCTCTGCGCCCCTTCCCCGCGGACGAACCTGGGACGCGCCCCCGGCCCCTCCTCCTCCCGCACGCATGCAGCAGGCGCCCCCATAAACGCCGACTGAGCGCACGACCTCGCCCGGCACCTAGCTCACAGCCCCACTCACCAAGCCATGGGCGCCGATCCGCTCCTGTCCCCCGCGCCGGAAGTGCCGGCCTCGCAGCCTGGCCTGAGTTGCCTCGGCTTCCGGGCGGTCTCTTGTTCAGAAAGCGCGCGCGATCCCGGGTCTGAGGACAGGGACCGGGGAGCCCGGGAGCGGAACCCGGGGCAGGTGAGCAGGGGAGAGGGGAGGGGGCCGGGGAGCGGAGCCTGGTCCATGGAAGGGGGATGGGGACCAGGGACGGGGGGAGGAGCCAGGGAGGGGGGAGGGTGCGGGGTGGGGGCCAGGTGAGCAGAGGTCGGAGGAGAGGGATCCGGGACCAGGGCCTGAGCCTGGTGTTCTGTGGATACGATCTTTCAAAACTCTGGTGAGGGACCTCGGTGTACCGACCACTTGACTCGGAGACCACCTGCCCGGGCCTGTTGCAGCCTCCCAGCCGCTGACGTTCGGAGGGGCCCTCTGAGGACCCTCTAATTGTGGTCCCAAGCCGCTTGCTCCAGGACCCAGGGGACAACTGAACTTCAAAAGCCCGTTAGACCCAGATTGGGGTCTTCCCCAAGTTTGACCTTGGGTCAGACTGAGCCTCTTCGAGCTGCAGTTTCTTGATCTGAAAATGGAGAAAGCAAGTCTTAGCTCACAAAGTTCTTGGGTCTACTAAACAGAATGATTTTTTAAAAGAGGTATACAGCCAGTGCTTAGTAAGTGATAGCTGACACTCTTGGTATCTGCCTCACCACCACAAGTCACTCAGGAAGCCAGGGCTCTGGGCACGAACCAGTCAGCATCACAGAGGACAGAGGCAGACAGGTAGGCTCAGCCACAGAGACCCACTTTGGCCAGACCTACCCCCAAAACCAGGACCCAGCTGTAGCTCCCTTTTCTCAGACATTGTGGCTTCCCACGAGGATCCCTGCTCCTGGATCCTGCTTCTCATCCGGTGTGGTCCCCAGGGTAAGAGACTTGTGAACGGTGGCCCCAGGCTGGGACAGGGATGGATGCACAGAGGGTCCTGGTCCTCCTCCATGTGTCCAGCAGCAACCCAGGCATCACCCTTGGAGTTTTCCTCTAGACCACGCACACCCGTTCGAGCGGGAGGGGCCCTTGTGGCTCCAGTGCCAGAGCCCAGAGCAGCAACAGTTGTGAGCGGATTATGAACTGTCGCAGGAGGGAGGACCAGCCAGCCCTCGCTGGGCGGGCTCTCTGCCAGGAGCCAGGAGCTCCTCGAGACTCTATAGCTCTGCGGTGAAGTGTGGAAGGCATACCCCAGCAGGCCAGAAGGCGGCCCCACTGATGAAAAGGCCAAGGCCAAAAGCCTGACCCGAGAACCATCGGTTAACCCGCCTGGTTGTGTTGGGGCCACAGGGGGTGGACTGTCCACGGGCTGGACACAGGGGCAAAAACAGCCCTGTGCTGAGGAGGGGGAAGGGTTGACATGGCCCTTTCCTAACCTGCTCCATCAGCCCTGGCAATCCCAAGGCCTGGACACGGGTGCCACTGGATTCGGAGGGCCAGGCCTCTTTCTACTCTGGAAGCTCGTTTGTTCGGTTTTCATCTGGCATGAGGCGAGCCTCTTGTGGCAGGGCTGGGAGGTTACCGCCAGGCAGATTCCCCCCTGCCTTCCCCAGCACGTTCCCATCTCACCGGGCCCCTGGCCTCATCCACACTCCGCGTGCACCCAGGTCAAGCTGACCCAGCCTTCTTGCCTTCCTCAAGGGGTCCCCGGGGGACCATGGGCGCCTCCAGGCTCTACACATTGGTGCTGGTGCTGCAGCCTCCGCGAGTTCTCCTGGGCATGAAGAAACGAGGCTTCGGGGCCGGCCGGTGGAATGGCTTTGGAGGCAAAGTTCAAGGAGGAGAGAGCATCGAGGAAGGGGCCAAGAGGTGAGGGAGGGGTGGGCCTGACCACAGAACCAGCTCCCAAGGGTGACAGCCTACAGCTCCTTATGGAGCTCTTGGGTCTCAGTTTCTTCATCCCAAAAATGGGAATAACGATGACCCTTCCTGCCTGTCGGGAGTGTGGAGATTGAGGATGTAACCGTACAGGATTTGGACCAGTGGGGAGTGCCCAGGGCACGTGAGCTGTTGCTGGGGGCGCGGGAGGGGCTTTCTTGACACATTTGGGAAGCCGCTGTGGCATGGCGACTTCCGGCTAGTCAGTCGTTTGCTTTCCTCGTGCGTTCAGGGAGCCGATGACCAGCTCTTCTGTCTGAGCCTGTTCACACACAGTCTCCGTTAGTCCTCGGCACAGCCTGCCTCACGCGGGCAGGAACCAGAGCCCAGAGCGGTTGACGGCTTGTCTGAGATCACACAGCTCTCCGACATCGGTCCCCTTGCCCTTCCTTGTCCTCACGTGTGGAACAAATGAGACTGTGTGTGCAAACATCTCACAAAGCGCTCCACAAGCCTTCGCTACTACTGATGGCATTCTGAAGGAAGTGAGCAACCTTAATTAAGGCCGCTTTCCCCGGGGAAGAGACCAGATCCCCACATGCGTACTAATGAGGCTTCTGGAAAGGAAGTCAGCTGCAGGCTCTGCAGCCCGATGGTTCTCAAGTTTGGAGTTTTTTAAACATCACAACCCACATAAGAGATGTTTACGTTCTGATACAACAATGCTCTTACCACACGAAAGTACGTGCTCACGTCCCGCTAACATAGTTCCTATCCTTCGGGTTTTTTTAATTGCTGGTCACAGTCCACCAAGTTGACTTCATGGTGCACGGTACCGGGGCTGGGTGCCTGCGTGAACGCAGTCAGCGGGTGTGATCCCTGCACCTCCCCCCTCCTAGGGCAGGGGACCAAGCGCGTCATTATTTACAGTTTGGGGTGTTGCTATAGCGCGGGCCAGGCTGCTCCGACAGCACACGGCGGGGGCACAGGCCGGTTCGCTGAGGAGACTGGTCCCCATGAGCCCGCCACTGGGTGGAACCTGGATGGAAGCCAGCTGCCCCCCCCCCCCCAAGTCGAGCTCAGTGTCAGGACACAGGGAACAGGTCCCGACCGCCCCCCTGCGGGGCTCCGATCTAGTCCGGCTGCCGGGCTCACGGGGACGTGTGCAGAGAGCGGGTCTAGCGGGCACCCAGTGGTGCGGGGCATCCAGAATAAAGAGTGAGGGCAGATGACTGGGCACAAAGGAGAACTCCCAAAGGACTTGGCGTCCGGTCTGGTCCGAGCAGGTGGAAGGCAGGAACGAGGCATCCGAAGAAGCACCGAGGGCCAGAGGGCAGGGCTGTGCAGAGGCGTGTGGCGGGACCGCGGGGGGCTTCCCTTCAGCCCCCTGCCGTCCTGGTGGTCAGGAGCCTCCAGGCCCCCGATTTCTTAGGACCTTTCCTTTTCGTCCTCTCGCTGTTAGCATTTCCTGAATGAGACACACCCGTGAGAAACCAGCAGTCACCCCAGAGCCTCAGTACTGAGTGTGACGGCTGCCTTCCCACAGAGCAGGCTGGAGGTCGGGCAGGAAACGAGCTTCCTCAGGATGGGAAGCATGTGACCTCTATCCCCCGGATACAACTAGCACCCATCCGGGTCTGCCTCCCTCTGCCGCCGCGTCCAGACCACCCCTCCCCACCTGGACAGGTGCTCTGCCTCCTACCTGGCCTCCCTGCTCTGCCCTTGTCCCCCTGGCTCCATTCTCCACTCAGCCCCCGGGCAACCTTCCCGAAACCGGGTCAGGGTCTCTCTCGTTCATGTGTGAAGTCCCTTTATTTATTTGTTTCCTTTTACTTAGAGCGCAAGCGGGGAAAGGGCACAGGGAGAGAGAGAATCCCAAGCGGGCTCCACGCTCCACACAGAGCCAGACTCGGGGCTCGAACCCACAACCGTGAGATCGTGACCTGAGCCAAAATCCACCAACTGAGCCTCCCAGGCGCCCCGTGAAGTCCCTGTAATAGCACCCAGTGCTGTTAAACCGAACCTCCGGTTTCACCTGTGGAGCCCCCTCGTGGCCCAGCTTCACGCCGCTCCAGCCGCTGCCCCTCACCCTCCCAGCTGTCGCCCACCCCACTCTTCCTGGCTCCTCACCTGGCCGACCCCCCGCAAAGTCTCCGTGAGCCCAGGACTGGAGACGTCGCACACACTTGTCCCGAAGTGCACGTGCACCCGTCTTCACCAGGGGACGTTTAAGGGATGGGCCCATCGTGTGGCCAGCACGTGGCCCAAGACATGGAAAGGGCCGCCTGCACGCTGGCCTCCTCACGGCTGAGGACTCGGCCTGTTCTAAAGCATCACATAAGCGCGGCCACACGGGTGCGCCCTCTGGTGTCTGCCCCCCACTCAGGTCTTTTGCCCTTGTTTTTAAACGGGGCTGCCCGTCTGAGAGATTTGCAGTTCCTTATACATTTGACGTCTTTATTGATTTTCTGCTTGAAGTGTCCAGCCCGGACGGTGGATTCATCCACTTCTCCGTGCGGTGCCATTCATTTTGCCTCCCGTAGCTTGACTATCGTCAGGTGCATACGTATTAAGCATCCTATCGAGGAGAAGTGGTCCCTCCCGCAGGACGGAATCCCCTTTATTCCTGCCGAACTTGCTGCTTTGAAGTCAGCTCTAAAACCCGTACAGATATTCCTTTCTTCCTTTGACTAGTGTTAGCCTGGTGTGTTTCTCTACGTTTACTTTCAATCTGCGTTTTTTCATCTTGATCATTGTATACTTTGTGCTTTTAATCTTCCTGTGCAACGTGGGCTCCGTGCGGACAGCACCGGCTGGTCTTGTCTTCAGATCCACTCTGACGATCTTTCTTTCGCCGGAGCCCGTGGACCGCTGACGTCCCAAGCGGTGGCTGGTACACAGATGGGTTAATATCCACCAGATTCGGTGGTTTTCTGTTTGTCACCCTTGTCCTCTGTTCCTGGCTTTGTCTTCCACCCCTTTTCTCCATTCTGAGGTTTTAATTGGGCACTTAAAGGATTCCATTTTCTCCCCTTTTTAGAAGGTCAGCTATACTTCTTTAATGTTTAGTGCACACCTCAAAGTTTGCAATACGCATTTGCACACGATCCAAGTGCACTTTCAGATAACACTGCCCCCCGCCCCATGGGTGGTCTGAGGGCCTCTTGACAACAATCCTGATTCCAACACCCAACCCTGGGTGCTCACTGTTCACCTTACACACGTGCACGCACACATGGGGCACACCAACACGGACACGTCGTCGCCAATAACCTCAAACAAACCCTTACCCACTCAATCGATCGAGCATAAAAGCCAGAACGGTTTTATCTTGCCTTGGCTCACTCCTTCAGTCCTCTCGCTTTCTTCGTGCAGACCCAAGGTTCCGCCATTGCCTTTTTCTCCAAAGACCTCGCTCTCGTGTTTGTTAGGAGGCTGGTAATGGGGCCCCTCAATTATTGTTTGAGAAAGTCTTTATTTCCCCTTCCTCTTGATGGGAAGTACAGAATCCTAGGTTGGTGTGTTTTCTGTCAACACTAAGTATTTCGCTCCCTCTCTCTCTGCTCGCTCGGTTTCTGGGGAGCCAGATTTGACTCTCATCCTGGTTCCTCTGTGGCCAAGTGCTTTTGTCCTCTGGTTTTAAGATCTTTTCCTTTTCTTTGATTTATTACACCCTGAAGGAAACGTGCCTGCAGGTAGTTTTCTGGTGTCTGCCTCGCTTGGAGTCCTCGGAGCTCCCGGGATCTGTGGTTCGGCGTCTGACATCAGTTTGGGGAAATTCCCAGTGACTGCCGGAGTCACTGCTGTTCTCCTGCTGGTGTTCCCGTCGCACGGGGGCCACACCTTTCCTGGCTGTCCGACACCCGACATTCTGTTCTGTGTTGTCCCATCTTTGTTCTCTTTGCTGTTCGGTCCTCAGGCCCAGTGGGCTGCAGTGTCCTGAAGTTCGCGGGTCCCCCTCGGCCACGCCCAGTCTGCTACTGTGTCCTCCCTGGGGCTCGTCTTTTCATTCGTGATGACGTTTCTATGAGTAGAAGTTTCATTTTAGTGCGATCTTTGCCTATCCCAGGCTGGAGACCTTCTCCTCAGTTTTTCTTCTGGAACGTTCAGGACTGTTAGATCTTCATCTGGAATGGAGTTTGGGATAAGATGTAGGGCAGAGGGTCGAGACTCATCCGTCAAGACATCCAGCTGACACAGCATTACTGAAGAGACCACGTTTTCCACTGTGCTGCAGTCCCCTGTCGTAATCACAGGGCAGATATGACATGGCCTGACCTCCGTTTCCTGTCGCGCTGTCCCCGGTGCCGCACGAAGGGCACCTGGGGGTCTGGGGGCCCTCAGAGTCAGGTTTGGGCCGTAGGCGGGTGCAGCGTCCCATCTCTGGACCCCAGCAAGGCCCCAGGGCACGGTGTTCAGAGCGCCCCAGAGGAGCAGCGGCCGAAGCCGAGCCCCAGGACCGCGGGGCCCCCGCGCCCACCCAGACGCTCGGCCGCTGCTGTCTTGTGTAATGCGTTCCTCATCCTGCTCTCTGCCATCTGGGGAGCTGAGTGTCACACACGCGATCCGACACTTTAGCAAAACCGAGGCTGTCGTCCCCGCTAATTACCCCAGCCCGTGAAGTAAGGTTATCGATGCTTCATGCACTGCTGTGTATTCAGGGAAGACGAACCAAAACTAGTCAAAACATCAACCACCAGGTGAAGTTTTTAAAACCCAGACCCACCGGCCTGCTGCCAGAGCAGTGGGGGAGGCCCGGCGGATGCCAGAGCCTTTAGCTGGGGAAGCCACCTGCACCCCCCAAGTGAAGACATTCATTTTTTTAGGTCCAGTCTAATTTTAAGCACGTCCCTGAACAAATTCCAGCTTTCAGAGCCTCAGTCGGCCTCGTCCACAGCGGCAGCAAATGGGCGTGATTCCCCTGCAGACCTTACCGGGAGCTCAGGGTGGACTTCCCGCTGAGGAAGGCGTCTGCTCACATCAGACCGTTTGGACCCAGCGTGTGTGTGTTTCACGAGCAAAGTGGTTTCCCTGGCTTCGTACAGGCACGGGAGGTACTTACGTATCGTGTTCCTAACACAACTTGGAGCGCAAAGCCAAAAAAACCTGTCCCTACTTAGAACTGTAAACGGTCAGGCGTAACGAGAACGCTTACAGAAACGAATACATCCAGAGCAGTAGGGAAGCCAGGCTCTAAGGGAGCAAAAGACCGAGTTCCCTCGCCACTGCAGCGAGCAGCCA